TGTTAAAACTGACTGTTTATATACTCAAATTAAAACAACTGAGGCACACTGGAGATTTTCTGAAAGCGATTTCTCATTAACAGTTTTGGTAAAATCAGCCTTATTGCTTTTTTTATTTCATATTTTCTCTGCCTGGATTAACATCGAAAATATTTTTGAATGAACATTATACAGTAACTGAAAAGATAACAAGAGACTTTTAGTGATATATAAGAAGCCGCTGTATGATTCAAAAACATTAAGAAACATTGGATTTGCCTAAAGGCAGTTTTATTACTTAAAATGGTTAACAGTGTACGTTTTAAACTGGTAAGTCTATTTTGTAGTAAGAGGAAGTCTTGGGAGTTAGGATGTGTGTTACTTGTGATATGCCATAATGTGGAAGCAAAATAAATTAATAACAAACCTTCTAAGATGCCGAAGAAGATTGCTTGGTACCTTATTATTGTTCTTATTATAATTAAAATGGATAACACTGAACTTTCAGAAAAAAAATAAAAACAAAATATTTTGTTTCATCAACATGACATGCTACATTTGTGGTTTAATTTTGATTTGTGATAACGATTATTATAAATTCATGTTATAGATTTTTAATTTAATAATTTTTAGAACAAGATAATTCCGAGTAATGTTTTAAGTTGTATTTTGATACTAAGGCACTGTACTATAAGCCACAGAGTTAAACTTCTGTGTTCATTACTACTCAGCTTGATAGTGATAGTAATTTAGAGAGGACCAAGTAAACTGATACCTCTTCATGGTCCCTAGTTACACTTCCGTTATATATTTTTAGGTTGTTAACTGCTAGTAGGAGTAAAGTGTGGAAAAAATAAAATTATGTGTTATATCACAGGTCAAGAATTAATTCCCTTGTGACAGTGAGTGAAATTTATGTGCCAACCCTTTCGGGATAATCTGAATCTTTCCATTTCAATTTACTTAAAAGGATTTAAAAAACAAAGAAGCTCTCTCTATATTATTGAAACCTTGGCTCTGTATGCGGAAGTAACATCATCATTATACATTACTTCATTCAGTGAACTCATGGTTCAGTAGCTGCAAAGATGAATCAGAGTGTGACATTCCGTTATGTGTAATCATGTCAGACCACTTTCTCTCAGTAGCGTCTTAATCTTTTGAGTTTTTAATTTAATTTATAGCATAATTTATTGATTAATTTATGAGTTAATATTACAGGAAATGTTAAGATAAATATTGGCAAATGTACAGTAGAAAAATAGAGAGTTGTAAAAAATGTGCAGTTCTTAGTTTTTCTACTTCATGGGTTAAAACTATTACTCTGTGTTTTTTTCCACTACTTTCTAGAAAACAGTTCACAACATAAGAGTTCAATCTACTTTGAAAATCTTGTTTTTGGTCTAACAAAGTGATACTTTGTGTATAAATATACCATGGTGTACAGTGTAAGGAGACAAGGCAACATATAATTTTAGTTTTCCCACTACAGAAAGCTAACATCTTTAGCCAAAAGCAACACTTTTTTAAAAGTAAGACATTACTGTACCAACTGATAATTACTGTATCAACAATACAGAGCAATATAGAGTTGTTTTCAAATATTAGCTTTACAAAAGGTACCTAATTTACAAATTATGTGAATTATGAAACGTAAGCAAACAGAAAAATCATTACATGACAAACTTGCATTATTTGGATTGAAATATTATACACTATATTGCAAACAATGGCAATACCAGGAAGAATAATAAAATGGAGACATACATACTGTACATGAATTTGTTTTTCCTTGGGACAATAATATAGCAACAACAAAATAAAGCAACACAGACCAAACAGAAGTAGACGGCAGAAAAGAGCAGCAGACAGGATGTACACAATGGATATAAATAGATTAAGGTTCTTTCCTTCAGTCAGGTGAAATGCACAGGTGGTGACTCCATCATTTTGTGTTGATTAGGTTACAACCGAAATAAAAGCAAAGGGGCTCCGCTGGGTGTCTTAGGACTGTTTTTTCAGTTTATTCTCAGGCTGTTTACTATTCTTGTGAGCAGGGGAGGGCTCTCCATAAGGAAGGAAGCAAGACTAAAGAGGAACCCTGCTCTTGGATGAAAAAGTATTCAATTTCAGAAAACTCTCTTCTCCCTGCTAAAGCACAGTATTTGCATTTTGCTTTTAACACCAATTGCTTGGAGCTGTTTTATTTAACTTGTGTCTAACATGATCTGACTGGTGACCTAGAAGATGTCTTATCAGAGTGTTGACATCATTAACACTTCATTAATGTTGAACAAATGGAAAGGTAGGTTTCCTGTATTTTATTATTATGTTGGAAGTGAACTAGGGTAAAAAAGGATTTAAGATGCTATATGAAAACAAGACAATACTAATGGGTTTGACATATTTTACTCTATTTGAATGTACTTCTAGATATGAAATAACTTTGAGCAAAAGAGAATACATGAAGAATTTGAAAGAAGATTTGGATTACACCAGATAATCTATAATAATGGGTTTTTGGGGGATTATAATGGGATTTTTTTATGCCTTGTTGTCACAGTCTACATTTTAAGTTTGAACTTCTGTTACTTTAATAATTGATGTTAGAATCCCTTAACTAGTAAGATAACAGATCTATAAAGGTACCGAGGTTTTATAAACCTTTGTTTTCAAAACGTCTCATTAGATATTACAATCTTAACAATTAAGAAACAAATTAAGAATTGAAAAAAGTTTGAACTGGTAGATTTGTATAAACTTTTTGGTAGTTAATGAGCATCTATTACAGAATAATAGATTACAACAGAATACATTTGAAATGCACATTGAAATGCACAGCAAACTACTAAAGGCCCTGATCATCAAAAAGCCAATTGAAGCCTTACACAAAAAGTAAGGAACATGAAACTAACCGTACTTCCTTTTTGTGGCTTAATTTATACAGCAGCTGCTTAACAAGTAATTTATATGATGGTCATGGAAACTTTTAACTGTGGCCATATGATTAGAGATTTACTTTAAAAAATGGATATGGTGCGTAATTGTGTACAGTGCAAATTGCTGAATTTCTTTGCAGGCATTTTATCTATTTTATTGATTTTGTTATTGATATTATGAGTACTTTTGAGTACTTTTGGGTACTTTGAGTACTTTTTTAATGCTGTGTAACAGAATATCACTATCTGTATATAAATGCTTCTAAATGATAGAACTTTAAAAATATGTTTTCTAGAGCTTGCCTATATGTAATTATATACTGTAGTTAATTGTTTACTTATGCAGAAGATGTTACCAATAAGCTTGGTGAAAATGACCAAGTTTTATATTCACCAGCAATTAGGTTTTTATCAAGTATGAAGTAATTACATTGAATAATATTGTATATTACTGGTACTGTCCTTCATACTTACATCTTTTAGTGAACTAGTACAAACCACTACTGCAAACCACATAAAATACTGTCTCTTCAATTTCCCATATCTAAACAGATGTTTTTTTATTTTTCTTATGATTGTATATTAAGACACTTACGAGCACAGTACATGTAAAAAAACATACAGTATCCTGTTATAAGCAAGTATGACATCCCCAGGTTTGAATTTCGTTACTCACAGTTTGAAAGACATTGGCATACAGATTTCTTAAAAATAAAGTATGAATTGGAGATGGGATGGTGATGGATTTTAATTAATTAAATGCATATATATTCAGTTATGGATTTTCTCATCTTTTTAATACATTCTTTTTAATCATTTTTAAACACTAAGTCAGTTCTTGAAGGATTTATAAAATTGGCATGTTGGTATTTTTCAAGGACACAATTATCAATATTATTGTACCTTTTTTAGAAGCCATTACTAAAAAAAGCCAGTTATTAGCAATAAAACAATATTTTTCACCACTAGCATGAGTAGTTAAAGGATTTGGCTAGATTGAGAACAAGACTTTTACCAGACTTTAATCCTGGATGGAAAAGTAAAGTAAAATTCAAATAACTGTTAGGGAGTTTTGTTTTTCTCTTTAAAATAATGAAAGTGACCCCACTTGCTAAGTTCTTACAGAAAATTTAATAGATCCGCAGGGCAGGATATGCTACCAAAGTACAGGACATCATAGTCCTTTACTATTATTAGTACTATTATTAATCTTGTAGTATTATTACCTCTCCACAGTTAACAAGAAATTCACTACATTTCATCATATGGACATTGTGCTGTCTATTATATCTATTCTTTTTATTGATATCTTTGAAATGTTATAACTTGACTCTAAATGAAAAAAATATGTATTTATTTCATACAGTGTTATTTTAGATTAGCACTCATGTCTGATCAATATAAATTTAATGAACTGGAATGAAAGCAGTTTTTGTTTTGAATTATTACTATTGAAAAGAGTAGCACAAGATTTAATTTAGTTTTAGAGTTATTTCTTCTTCGAATTGCTTAGAACAGGTTGCACATCAATCACCTGCAGGACAGAAGTTTCTTGGCATAGGCAGTATTGCTAGTAGAAAATGTCGTGGAAAATAATAAAAGACAATTATAGTTAAAACATACAGTATATAAAAGGAGACAGTACAATTTTGGTAGAGCAGTTGTATATACAGTATTGAGGATGAAGGCCTATCTAACTGTTTGATGCATAAGACTAGAGGAAGGAAAGAGTGCATTGTTCAGATATTGAAAGACAAAAGAGAAAATTTTAAATTATATTGATATTTGAAATGACAGTATCTTCAGGAGAATACAATGTTTAAGTTTTATTTAATTTGAGTCACAGTGTAGCAGTAATTCTTCATCCCCTCTAGAATCCTTAATGGGTAACTTGTTCAGAAAAGAAAGAAAATCCCTATAAATAAACGATGACATAAATCACAAGTACAATTTCTTAGAAGAGCTTCTTTACGCTTTTTTCATCTTCAAACTCCATTTTGGGTTAATGTGATTTTGGAATAGTGAGACTTCAGGGTCTGCCGTTTTCTAAAATAATAAAATCCATTTCTTTACTCTCCTGAGACTCAGGTTGTGACAGTGTGACTGACAGCGAGGCAGAGTCAGAGGTAAATCATGTCTTGGATAAAAAGGCTGAGCAGAAGGATGAGCCCAAGCAAACTGAACCTAACCATGAAGAGTTTGTTGTCGAAAAAGAAGAGCTCAAAAGTGAATCCACAAGATCTGTCAACGACAAATGCGTTGCCATTCTGCCAAACAGAATACAGTGTGGGGTAAGTGCTTGGTTCCTTCTTCACTGTGCGACAGCAACGTTTCTTGTTATTAAGGATCTGTGATATTTAAGACAAAAACCAGAACAGAAAAAAGGTAATGTTATATTTGCTAATGGTCACATGGTACCAATAACTCGTCCCCTTTGTCATGGAAAAATTGTTTGTTCCAAATGAGGAACTTTGTCAATTCTGTACTTAATTGTTTGAAAACTTTTCACTTCTGTTTTTAACCGTTTTCAAAGACTTGACTGGTTTTACCTGAAGGAAGCAAAAAACTTTCTAAAAAAGTTGTAAACAGCATTCTTTTAGTGATGATGGAAATATGAAGTTGGGCCATTGTGATAAATAGTTTTTTAGAGCTTCATGTAAGTTTTAGTTTATGAGAGAACATTGCGGCATAAGATGTGTTACTGCATTTCCACCTTAAGACAATAAGGAGATATAAAAAGTTAATAATGAGAAGACTAGTCATCCCATCTCAGTATTTACTAGATTAATGTTTTCGAAATATCAAGAGTTATTTCCTGCTCATCCCTCTCTTGTGGATGCTTTAAGTTGCAAGGCAGTCTGTACTATCAACATTTCAAAAACTAATAATATGTAACTTCCATATCTCAGCCATATCAGCTCGTTGAGACAGACCTACAGTAATTGTGGTTTCTGTGCCATTAAGAGGGAGCATGCAACTCCCCAGCTCCCACCCCCCTTTTGGACAGGACATCTGTCTATCCCAGGAATTGCCCCCAACAATGTATCCATTTGGATAGACTGGACCAATGGAGATAGAGTACTCTAGGTACAACAGTAGTGTCTGCAGCAGGGTTGTTGCACTGCCTTTTATCAAAAAGTAATAGTACTACTGTAAAATAATAATAAAGTTCATTTAAAGATGAGCGAGTTTATTTATAGATAGCCTTTAATAATAAAATCATAGCAAGCTGAGCAGGGCATTATACATGGATGAGAAGAAGCACTAGAGAGACGCAATTATTGGATGCTTATACAGGTTTACAAGTTAAAAGCATTTAGAAACATTTCAAGTGATATTTTGAACTCTGCAGTGTGACAATGTGAGCTGAGTCTCTTACAATATACTGTACCTGAATTACACATTCTCAGTGCCACAACCATAAAGACCTGATAAACTGCTGATGTTAATTTAATGCTTGAGCAGCATAAAAGAATAGGAGCTACCATTCGTATCTCTACAGCAGAAGAGCATTGTAATCTATTCTGTAAGTGACTGGCAACCTTTGTAAAGAAACTAAAACAGAAGCCATATACTGTACAGCTAAACAAAGTTAGCAATCATTTTTTCTCATCCACCTGGGATGTTGTGGTTAAATTCTGATTTCAGTATAGTGCTATCGGACGAGATGAATCACGTTACTTCATGTCATGTTTGTTTTTACTGAATTACATGAATTACATGAATTACTGAATATTTTTAACTTAATGGAAAACAAAAGATTTTTAAACTAGATAAATCTAGCTCTCACACTTTTCTGAGGAAGTATGTTTATTTTCTCTTTTGTTTTTTTTTATATTGCACCTACCTGTTAAATTATCTTATCCATTGACACTAATGTAGCTCAATACAGTATATTATAATGGTGCTATTCTTGCTTTTTTCAGACCCAGGTGAATGTGTACATAATTCTGAAATGTAAGTTAAAAAAACAAATAAAAACTGAAGTGGAGTTTTCATGCAAAAATTGTGCCTCTAAACGAGAGTCAGGTGTGTTGGAGAATGAATATACAGTCTCTGCCAAGGCACCTGGTAAGTGCAAATATGTCTTGTGAGAAGTTTGGAAAAAGAGCAACATTTGCAGAACCCGTTTCATCTCATGATTATCTCCCAAAATAAGAGACAGTTTAAAATTGTAGCTGTTTTGGAGTTTTCCTGTCAGTGCTTCAGTTGATCAAGAACTTGCAGTCAGTGATCTCTTTCCATAAAAATATAAACTTGACAGTGGCATGAACCAAAACATGTGAGGAGAGACAGCTTGACGAAGTATTTCCAGTATATGATTGTTAAAATGGAAAGAAGTTCAGAATTGAATGCAATGAATGCAATGTTCTTTTTATTTGTAGACATGCCCTCTGGATCCGTCTTGGTGACTTTGTACAGTGGGGACTTAACTGTCTGCTCGATGCCTATAACATACTACACTGGCATGGGGGAAATCAGTAACTTTCTTGAAAATGCCATAAATCCAATGGAGTTCATGTGCCAGGTGAGAAGGTAGAAAGGGATGAATTTTATATTTATTTGACGGACTTTGTTTACTGACTTAGGGATAGTTTTTTGCAGTCATCTGGTCATCAGTCATCTACTTGTTTTTAATGCTAATCCTGCAGAGTCCAGATAAAATTGTACTTACTCTAGTGTTTTTTTGGTAAGTTATTTATTTGCTACTGCTGTGGCACTTTCACACATGCTACTGATCCTAGAAATGCCTGTTGAAATGCAGACATATCGTAGCCTGCATTTTAAATTTGTTGATTCATGAGTCAAACATATGTTTATTATACTAAGACATTAGTAAACAATCATGCATCAATATGTCTGCCTGCATCTATATGTGAAGTATAATCAACCTGTTTGTCCAATAGTTTTGTTTTTCTGAGTACCACTCACATGATGTAGTCTTTAGCAAATACGCAAATCAGTATAGTAATATTAAATTTAAATGCATTTTCAAAGTTAACTAAAGTTATAAAAGGAGTCCTTAATATAGGCTGTTTTTACTGTTTATAAATGCATGTGATATATACACTGGGGAAAAATATTTCTTCCTTTAAATTGGGCTCTTGACATTGCTTCAATTACCTACAAATGAGGAAAAAGAACATGTGAAATATCAGCATTTTTTAGAAAAAAAAAATGCATTTCAAAAAATGAAATGTCAATTGTCTCATGTTACCTACACTGTCTCTCCTCATGCTCTCTTTTTATCATTCTTCTTCTAGGCTTTTAACATCACATCATGCTGTAGAGAATCACTGGACAGATTACTGACGGAATCATTGAAGACAAATATGCCTGTATCTGGGCTTCATCTATTTGGAATTAACCAGCTCGAAGAAGAAAATATGTCAGCATGTGTGTAAACTGTTATTAAGAACCTCTAACATTTGAACAAATTGACCTTTAACATCAACAATATTTAAAATACAATAGTCTGTCGGTCTTTGGTGTTTGATGCTGGAAGACCATTTGAAGTTATTTGTAACACAATGTTATAGAGGTTTGTTATATTTTAGAAAAGACATTGATATTAACTTTTAAAACGTATGTACTGTATATATGAAACAAATACTTAATCTTTCCTTTTAAAATGTTATATACTGTAGCACACAAATATCTGGGATGGCCAACAAGTGTACTATATTTGCATAGTCAGACGGTTAATTTGTTTGGTTGGTTTGGTTATGTAATTTTAAAAAAGGAATTAATTTTGAAACAAATGGGAGGCTTACTGTTTTATGTTACTGTACTCTGGATTTGATGCAATAACTTTTAAAAAAAACTCATGCATAACGCTGAAATATGTGCAACCAGAGCTGTGCTCAGACTATTATTCACACAGTTCCCACCCTGAGTTACTGCAAAGGAGGTTAATGCTCAGAGTCTGACATTTTCCCTTGCAATTATAATTGATAATTATAGTTTTATATACAGTAATTCTCTGTTAATATACTTTATCTCTCCAAGATACAAGAACCATTGGGAACAAGTACATTTTTTGTAAAGAAAAAAAATCTCTTAGGTGCGAGATTTCCTTTTCCAAATGGGTTCTGAGGTTTTTTTTTGGCAAGTAGTCTGAATTACTGCACAATAATAAATTACAATAAAATGACTATTGGCATCAGTCATTCATGTGTGCAGTTCCTCTCCAGGACTGTACATCACAAATATAGGACTGTATTTTTTTAGAATTGACTGTGTCAAAATCTATACATTCTGATATATAGCATTCAGCATTGTATAATCCTTAACAAATCACCTGTAGAAATCATGAAGTTCGTATGTTTCAGTATTTTTAGTGTTACTGTGGTCTTCATACACGGTGGTATGACTGATGGTTGTGATCCTCCTTGCTGCCTGTCAGATTATGTGTGTGAAGTTTGAAGGCTACAGTGTTTGAATGCTTTCCTTTTTGTAGCTGTAATGCAGATGTACATCTTTCTTGATACTGTATTTAGAAGGAAATACTTTTAGAAACATCATCATTTGTATCAAGATTTTATTAGTTAAATCAGACCAGAAAGTGAATTTGAATTTCTGACCTTAGGCTCAGCAGTATCATTAATCTCATTAGTCTCTCCGCGAGTTTTCTTCACTTGAGTGTATATACAGTACAGTAAGTGATAAGTTAAAGTAGCACACAATGCGCTTCAAAGGAAAAGTGAAACGTAATTAAAAAGTAAATAAAAAACACTCCCTTCATTTAGGTGTATTAAAGTAAAGTGGAAAAAGTGTGTGCAAGACATTGCAAAGTACAAGATAACATATAATATTGTTCATGTTGGAATTTTTTGTTATAATTTTAATTGTAATACTCTCTACATTGTAATACTCTCTGCCAGACCAACGGAATGAGGAGCTGCCTACATTGCTTCATTTTGCTGCTAAGTATGGACTGAAGAAGCTTACAACTGTCTTGTTGCAGTGTCCTGGTGCTCTCCAGGCTTACAGTGTAGTTAACAAATACGGAGACTATCCCAACAATATTGCTGAAAAGAATGGCTTCCGAGACCTGCGTCAATTTATGGATGAGTATGTTGTAAGTAACCAAGTATTTTATGCTTAATTGATTTAAGATTGAATTATAGACTCATTTTAAATATGTTTTAATTAAAATAAAGACGGTATACAAATATTCACTTAAACTGCAATGGGAAAAAACAACTGCGCCTTTAGGAATAAAACATTTCTGTTGCACACAAGTATTACAGGATTTATTTGTTTTTAACACTTCAACTACGCTTAAAGAGTTTTTGCATTCAAACAGCAGCTGTTCTCAGAGAATTCAGAGACTGTGGTGTGTACTAAAGTATATTTGAAATGAAAGAAATATCACTGATATTATCTTGCAGCAAAATATAGTGCATCAGGTCCCCATAGTGATAAAACACCTTTCAAGAACCCACTCCAATTCCTGTGACTGGGAGGGCCTTAGCATAGTACACAGTAATAGTACAAAAACACCTGGTCTTCAGTCTTCAGCATTGCTAAATTCCTCCAGGGGTTATGTTTCACTGCTAGATTTGCTTTGCATATAACCCCCAGTTAGAGAATGCAAATATGTTATATTCCATGTTAAAAGAGAATATGAAGTGGCATATTACTTTTTCACTGTGTTTTAAGTACAGATACTCCACATTACGTTTTCTGAAGTTCAGAACCACTTCATACTGTATATTGTACAGTTCATGTATGTGTATTAATGTGTATGGATAAATTATGTAATCTGTGATATAGCTTTTTCAGACAGATTATACCAAACTAAATAATATGTAGATTACTTACTCTGGCATGAGGTTTTCCTCAACCTGTCTTGTTTATGTAATGTTGTCAGTGTCAGAGATTGAGGAAGTAAGAAAAGGTTAACCAAAGCCACTGAATTTATTTAAAAAAAACATTCTATAAAATATCACTATATATAAAGTCATACAGCAAGAACACAACAGACATTGCTTAATTTATCAGTTTATCCTGTTTTGACAGGTCAGATTATTTGGATGAGGTAAAATTAACTTTATCGGTCAGCTTTTGTTTGTTCACTGTATATTTAAATAGCTTGTTATACAAGAACATTTCACACTGAAATCCCTTATGCTGTGCTGAGAGTGTTTCTAAACACTGCGCAGAGACAGCTTTTCAATTTTGGATTTGTTTTAAAGGTATACATTTTTAACTTTTTTAAAGTTTTTCTTTGTTTTTAGCAAGGATGGTTATTGAGTAACAGAATGATGATTGTGACTTAAAATGTGTTTCTTCTTCTAGTTCTAGGCTGTCTCGTTTGATTTTTAAACCATTGAATCACCTAATCTATAACTGCTTTTAACACAGTGTGTAAGAGCCTTAAGTGTCTGAGGAGGCTGTGGGGAAATGAAAGTTTCCGTCTCACACTCCTTCTTAGGTGTAGGTCAACCAAACAAGTCACTAGAATAATGTGTAGAATTCTCTACATTCTAATCTTAGAGTGGTCACAAAGCTAACAAGTTAAACATATGTTACAGTGTAGCCCAAGTATGCCATTAAGTCATATTCTTATCTAAAGGCAGCGCTTTGTTAACGTAATGAATATGCATTAAGGAGGTAATTCTTTTAAAATGGTAAAGCACTCATATACTGTACTTACTAGCAGTTTGTGTTATTTAAGTTGCAGTGCTTAATGGGAGTAAATGTGAAATACTGGCTAGTTCCTCTTTTCACAGTCATATTACTGTTACAGTCTCAACAGCTCTGTGTTTGCAGGATATCCGAGGTTAGGCAAGTTTCTACATATTTTCAGTTTATTTTAAGAAAGTCACACAAAATAACTTTCCTTAGAATAAGCTAATTTTGAACCTTCAAGATTAACAACACGGTAGTTCTAGCTGGTTTCTCAACACAAAATTTATTTTTTACAGTTACAGTTAATCTAATTAACTTTTACTCAAATTACTGTTGGAAGTCCATGTAAAAGTTTATAAATAAAACTTTCAGGGACAACAACAACAATGTACTAAGGCATAGTGATCACGTTATTGCTTTGCTGTATTCTTATCAGATACTAAAAGCTGCTATCTTTGTGTTTCTTTTTATTTTACTGTTTATTCATACAAATTGTGATTTTCTCATGTGAAACTTTAGTTAATTTATCAAGATTTTCAATTTATTTCAATTTAATGTAGCATCCCCATCATTAACAATTTCATTCACATGTATAAGACTCATTAGTAGCAATCTTTTATTAATTCCTGTACAGTGTAGTGTTTTAGGGTTGTTGTTTTGAATTTGAAGAACATGGCAGAGCTTCATAGCAGCTGCATGGCAGTGCTTCATAGCATAGCAGCAGCCATATCACTCTGCAACTCACAACTGGCAACCCACTGAAGCTAAACAAGTGTGAGCCTTGTCAGTACCTGGATGGGAGACCTCCTGGGAAAAACTAAGGTTGCTGCTGGAAGAGGTGTTTGTGGGGCCAGCAGGGGGCACTCACCCTGTGGTCCATGTTGGTCCTAATGCCCCAGTATAATGACGGGGACACTAAACTGTAAAACGGTGCCGTCCTTCAGATGAGACGTAAAACCGAGGTCCTGACTCTCTGTGGTCATTAAAATTCCCAGAGCATTTCTCGAAAAGAGTAGGGGTGTAACCCTGGTGTCCTGGCCAAATTTCCCATTGGCCCTTACTAATCATGGCCTCCTAATAATCCCCCTCTATGAATTGGCTTCATTGCTCTCCTCCCCACTGATAACTGATGTGTGGTGAGCGTTCTGGCGCACTATGGTTGCCGTCGCATCATCAAGGTGGATGCTGGACATTGGTGGTGGTGGAGGGGAGTCCCCATTACTTGTAAAGCGCTTTGAGTGGAGTATTCAGAAAAGCACTATATAAGTGTAAGCAATTATTATTATTCATATATACTGTCCTGTGTATAGTTACATCCAGATTTCCTTGTACATGGGAACCCTCCAGAGGTTCTCCCTATTTTCACTTATCAGTAAGAATTACTAAGACTGACAGTAAAAGACTCCCTAAATATTGTTCCAGTAATTTTTCTGATACCTGCACAGGGCTCATTAGGTGTAGCAGTGGAGAAGTGTGTCAAGGTTACATAGGCTACTATTCTATGCCGGATTAATATAAAATTTATGTACAATTCAGCTGTGTCTGCTGAATTGAACAACTTAGTGATGTGTTTGCTTTGTTGTAGACCCCTAAGAAACTATGGTGGATAGGAACAAAGAAAGAAAGGGAATCTCAGTTTCTTTGATCTTTGCTTGCAGGAAACGGCAGATATGCTGAAGACTCACATTAAGGAAAGCATCACACAAGGAGAGGATGAGGACATATATGAGTCTATGTCCAATACCTCCAGAGACATCCTGATGAGGTACTCTCTGAACCCAGGGTGTGATGAAGACATCTATGAGTCAATGATGGAGTTGAATCCTGACTGTATAGAGGACATATGTAAGTGTTTTCTCACCATGTAAATACTTAATTTCAGTTAACAGGACTAACTTAGCTGAAACTAAGAATACAAGGCAATTGCATTTTACAAAATCACAAGGAAAGGATGAAAGGATGAAGTAAAAAAAGTTCTGATTTGGACTGACTTACTACACCATATACAGTATTATACTGTATATTTGCACATATGCAGTGTCTTGCAAAAGTATTCAGACCCTTCTTATGGTGTCCCATTTTGTGAAGTTTCAAAATGTTGCATTTACATTTTTCTTATTACAATGTAAAATTTTTAAACCTGAATTCCCAAACTTAAGGTGTGTATGGGTGAGATGGGTTACTTTAAATGTTAGCAAAACCTAGAAAGAAAAAAAATGTTGATTGCATAGAAGCCATGAATGCTTTGATCTCTGTAGCTTTCAAAGTGCAGGGTGGCATTGCTAATAAGTTCCTTCCTCTCCTAGTTTCTGAGCTTGGCAAATTTAAGTAGGCAGTACCTGGGTGTCTACCACTTCTTAATGATTGACGTCACCACCTCTGTTATTAACCTCTGTTATTGCCCACAGACAGAGGCCTCTCAACTAATTGTGTTACTCTTTAACATAATTCAGTGCACCCCCTTTACATATGTTAATTAAGATTTTGCCACAACAAGAGGTTTAATATTAATAGGATCAACATTTTTGTCATATTAATGATATATTTAAACAAAAAAAATTTGAGTACTGTACAGGGGTCTAAATAATTTTGCAAGTCACTATAAAAGCATTTAATTTTTTGTTAATATTTTGTTTAAGGGAATTTGAATTTACCTAGTGTGATCAATAAAATTGTATTGTAGAGTTTTTAGTTTGAGGCTTAAACCAGGATTGGAATTCTATACCTTTTCCTTGAGTGTCAATTACAAACAGCATTACTTCAATATTTTTTTAAAAGGCATGGAAAAATGATGGTGGCTCCATAATTACATTTTTTAATAAACATAAAACTCATCATCCCTTTCTTGAAATACTGACGTAGAGAATAACTACTCTGTGTTTCAACTTCAGATGAAGACATGGACAAGGCATTAAGACAAGCATCTGATGTCCCTGATCCCTTTGCAGTGAATACACAGGAAACTATGCTCCGGAAGTTTCTGGAAGGTAAAATTACATTTTATAGGTCTGCAAAACGTAAAGATGGGAAAAGTGGGTACCCTCCTAGTGCTTGGGGATCCTGCCACGCCCCGCACTTTCCCTCGCAAACGTTGTTACATTCCCAAACCCACTTTTTCACAATCTCGTTCCTAAACTGAACCTATCACATTCTCACATACACCTGATTCCACAAATTCTCACTCCTGGACCAATTTTTTAACCACATCCTTTTCCCTTCAGTATTTAAAGTTCCCTCACGTACCAACCCATGGTCACTATTGAGAAGCCATCCTGTAGTATTCTCATGTGTACTTTTCAACTCTTTTGACTGATCTCCCGGTTTCTAATCTTTGCTCCTGCCTTTTTCTACTATGCTCTTTGGATTTCGTTTTTCGGATTGTCTTTCTCGGATTTCCCTGGTTCCCAGACTTATTGCTTCTCCAATCGACCAAGCCCCTGGATTACGTGTTTTGGATTTTGTCCCTGTGCTATTCCACATTCTGCAGGATTCACGGCTACCCATAAGGATCCTCCTATTCTACCGATCGGTTCCCTGACAGATCCTTTGCCATCAATTACTAAGTTCATTAGTAAAATGTAGAATCAATTTAATTTAACCCTATTTACATACAGAAAAAAAATATATGTTCCCTTCCATTGCATTTCAGAATGTTTAAAGAAGTACGCAAAATAACTTTATTTCAAATTATAGAATGTGGTATTGCAATGTATTAGAGACCCTAGTTTTGTTTAAAGCACATATGATTTACTTACAGTATGTGTTAAGTGTTAGCATGTCATCAAATGTTGGATTAACATAATTGTACCACATTGTAAGTAAATGTTATAAAAAGATTATTTTAATTTAATGAAGTTTTGTTCTTCAACAAAGATGAAACTACATTTCCCTCATGATGTTTACAACAGGCAAATCGGAGAAATGTCCTAAAACTGAGGTGCCAGAGGACACGGACAACCGTGTTAAGGAAGGGGAGGAGGTGCAGTCGGAGATTGAGGAGGAAGAGGAGGACCCTTACAAGTTGTGTGTGGAGGATGATGTCTACGACACGGTCGAGCAGGGTGCCAGCTACATCCCAGAGATAGTCAATCGTCCGCCTGCGCCCATTCCCAGGCCCTCTGTCTGCAGTGATCCAGAAGAGAGAGAGGCGTACATTTCCAAAGGTCAGGGAAATGACTTGGCCACTGGATTGCTGAAACTAGAACAAGTCTTTCCTTGTGGTCTGTTCAATCATATTTAGCTGTAGTGAACATTACTGTATTACAAGGCATGTGTAAAAATGAGCGCTGCTACTTCCCCTCCAATGTTTCTAGCCCTCTTTAGCATTTTTCAAGTTATACACAGTAACACATGGTTACACATGTAGCAATGTGTCTTTAAATCATTTTATTAATCTATGTTGTAGAATGTTACTGTACTTCTAAAAGTAACTGGTAACTGTAGTCCCCGTGAAGCAGTCACATTTTAAAAAAAGGTACAAACCATGGATTAAATAGCTTTGTCATATCAGAATTAATGCCAAGGCTATTGAATTATATACTATATATATATAAAATTAAGTAGTCCCATAACATAAGAATTAAATAGGAAAAAAAATATTTCATGAAAAAGACTGATGTTTTAAAAAAGGTTTCATTTTAATTCACAGAGTCATAAGCAAATAGGATTGTAGCACATGTGAACATGTGTGTATTTATTTTTTGCTAGAACTTATTATTCTGTTTTTTATAGTATTTTCTGAAAAGCAAGCATCAAAACCTGAAAATCTTTATGTTCGAGGAAAGGTGTTGGCAGGTAAGAGTTTTGATGGTTGCATTATACTGTATATATGTATGCTGTGTTTTTTTAACATTGTTACAGTATAGTAAAATATGATCATTAGTAAACCGTTAGTCGTAGCATGACGAGAGTAAAAAAATGAAACAACTCATTTTATTCAGGTAACCTATTGGTGAAGCACTGCACATAAAGCAGATAAATAAGATTTTGAAGAACGACAAATTAAAACATCTTTTTCATCCCCCACTATTTTTTCATTACTTCAGTGAATGTCTTAACACAGAATACATGTATTTATTTGTCCTTTATTTTCTTTGTGGAAACACTGGACAGTTGCAAAATACTGTAGTGAAGTCAAATCTGGCCTATTGTCTAGCCTACTTGTTGACAAATGGAAAAGGTCTGTAATTTTTTAATCTTATTTCAGTTCTACAGTATCTTGAGGTCCCTTCTGTATTGCTCAGTAGCTTGTATTTTTTCTCCCTGGCCACATGGACTTTTGCCTTGGGGTCTGGTTTCTCCCATAGTCCAAAGATATGCTGCCTACAGTAGGTTAAATTGCACCTGACACGTCCTGTGTGCATTTATTATACAGTATGTCTCCTGCAATGGACCTGTTTAGAGTGTACTGGAACTTGTCTTACACCCATTGCCTGCCGGGTTAGACCCTAACTCTCCACAACACCTTATTGGACTAAGTGATATAATATATGAATTATTAGAAAATGCTATAGTACAGTGCATGGTCTTTCTATTTCTGATGCAATAATAAGGGTAATCTGTTTAATAAAAAACAAGTTGTATAATCCCGTAAGACTGTACTCTGAGATTTCACAATGCAGCTTTTGAATATACTGTACTGTAACTGCATATATTCTGTAAAAAGATTGATTGATCACAAAGATACAATATATGTATGTTTAACTAAGTTTATTGAATTATGTTTGAATTAAATTTCCTATCATACAGTACATGCCTCAGAAGTAAAGGCTCTGTACAATTTCAATGGTATTTTCTACGAAAATAACAAAATGTATGTACTGTATAACAAAACAAATGAAAATATTTTACTTCTTGTACTCCCTGTTACTTATTTCCTTTATGGTATTTAATTTAATTCTTTCAACTGATGTATAAGAGACTGTGTAGTCCTGAAACTCTGAATGTGGCTGAGTGGAATGTGGCTATCTTGTTTAAGGAGTAATTTTATACATAATATTTCAGAAGAAATTCCAACGATGAATGAGAAATTTCAATCCAGTTTCTTTGTTGCTAATGGTTTCACACTTATCCAGTTCTGTGCTGTGTTTTGGATTAGTGAGACCAGTGAGGGACAGACCTCCCACAACCACCTATGACCCGTTTGCTGGAATGAAAACCCCAGGCCAGAGACAGCTAATTCTGCTTCAGGAGAAGGTGAAGCTGGGTGATATCACTGTAGAAGAGGCTGTCCAGGAGTTCAAGGAATGGCAGCTCAACCAGAAGAGAAGGTCAGAGTCCCTGCGATTCCAACAGGTATTTTAGTCTTCTAACTGATTTCTCATTGCATTAGGTTTATATTAATGTTTTACATGGATCTAAAATGACTTTTGATATCTGATGTGTTTAATAAGAAACATCTTGCTTCAGATTGCTTCAGATCAGATTTCAGCTTTTATTTCACACTGATTTTCTATTTTCCAGACACATTAATTTGCCAAATTAATAAATGAGGAATGTAGTTACTTCTATTTCTGTAATTATATAAATGCATATTTTTATATTAATTTCAAATGATGATTTAATTCCTAATGTGGATTTCTGTTTACTGATTCAGTCATCAAAAGTACTTTCTTCAAAATATTATACGAATATAATCTTTAATTTGAAAGAGGATAACAAATTGAACTTAGTTTAAAGAACACAGAATTTGTATTGATCATACATAAACTATTCATCTTTTTGCTAATACGAGGAATCAAGGGTAAATCACTTTTCAAGTTATTTTTCAATATGCCTTTTTCTTATACAAGGATAGTTATTATTGTTGTTCAGCATGGATATTTCCTGGGAGCTGTTTGGACTATGAAGAAAATAGTTCCGGTAAAATATGCTACTATAATTAACAGACCAGTTTATTTTCAGAACCCACATTGTTCTAGTGAAAATGTTGTTAGCTACTTTTAGATGGCTTTTATAAGTTAAGCTGTTGCATTGCAGTAAGGTTCCAAAAGTACATCTTCTTCCCTCCATATACATAATAGCATATTATATTGTATAAAAATAAAGGTGTGTACCATGGTGGCAAAGTGGTTAGTATTGCTGTCTTGTAGTGCTGGGGCCCAAGGACTAATTCTGAAACTGCAGTGTTATCTATATAGAGTTTGTATGTTCTCTACCACGGAGAGTCATAATACCACATTATAACGCCCATCCCAATGTTCGAAAAAGAGTAAAACTCGACTCAAAATAACATGCTGTATATCTTCCACTGCTCAGAAGTCCAGGTTTTGTGCTCATTACACCAGGTCATGCATTGCTGCTCATTGGGCTTGGTTAAAAGCGGTTTCTGAATGGCACTCCTACTGTAAATATCAGCTTTGTGAAGCACATGATGTACAGACACTGCAATGCAGGGTGTAGATTCAGTTCTGTGGTCATTTTTGAAGCTGGTGTTTTATAGTTTTTAGCAACCTTATTAAATGCCTTTCTATCTCTGTGAGCTTCAACAGACCTGCAATTCAGGCACACACTATTTAACCTTTTTTATAAATCTGTTAGATCTGTTATGTTGTTTTAAAAACTCACATGTTAAAGTGTGAATTTCAAGATGTCTATGATAATGGAAACATACAGTATTGGTATTTAGTATTGGAATTTATATGAAACACATGTGTAGAATCATTTTTAATTGTGATTTAGTTACTTTAAAATGCATGTCCTATTTGTTAAATCTTTCCATTATTTTGTCTGCCCCTTGTATTCGTGCTATACAACCATATAAGAAAGGCTTTGCTGTTGTTGGGTCTCAAGAACTTACCAGTGTAAAACCCCAACTTTTTAATTGAGCTGATGAACGTTAAGAAGAGTTTTAAAAATCATTTTGTGTAGGACTTGGGAAATGAAACTAGGCAAATGTTATGACTCAAAATTGTATGCTTCTTAATTCCCCTGTCAAAACTTTGCTGTCTGAAAAGGTGGAAGTAAAATTGGAAGTAGTATAGTTCATCTTCAATTGTTGTCTGTTTTTAGGAATATTTGTATGCTTTTTACAATAGTGATGGGTCAAGCATACAGATTTTACAATGCAGACTAGTAATGAAAAAATGAGAAATGTAACATTCAAAAGTATTTGACAGCATAGCATTAACTATGCTGACAATAGTAGTTTCTTAAAGCGCTGTTAAACAGGGGTACAAAAAATAAATGTCCTCATCCAGCTTTCTAGATAACATTTGTGCATTTTAGAAGATGATGCTGTAAAATTGCACGTTATATCCTGACATGAAAGCAAATGATATCAGCTACTGCTTCAAAGAAAATCAATTCAAAATCAAAAATAAAAATTGATTGAACTAGAAAATGAATAATTAGTATAAAGTGGGCTTCTAGAGTTGTGGGTTTAAGGTTTGAAATCTTCTTTTTAGGAAAATCTGAAGAAATTAAGAGACAGCATTACAAGACGACAGAAAGAAAAGCAGAAATCAGGAAAGAACATAGGTAAGAATGAGAAAAATGAGAAAGGTAGCATTTAAAAGTTGATTTAATTATTCTGACAATAGCAGTTCCTTAAAACACTCTTAAACTGGGGTACAAAATAAATGTCCTCATCATGAAAATATACCGTATAATTCATAGCCATTTTACTAATAATGAGATTGGTTAGACTTTTTTCATGGTTTTCCGTTTTGATGTTGCTTATGAATAATGTAGGAACTGTTAATATAGATGTACATTTGCATAATTTAGTAGTATTTTTAAATTTTCAAATAATTAAAAGAAAATGTAAGTTAGTAAATTATGCGTTTAACCTGTTACAATTCCAATTGTATAGACTGTAGGGTTGTGCACTGGGAAGCTCTTTTTCAAGGAATCGGGATATTTGGACTGACCAGTGCTTTACTGTAAGGCTTATTTAAATGCAAAAAATATCTCTACTCCTGCAGGTGTCCTGAGATTGCCATTCCAGAGCAGACTAATATTTGTAAAATATTGTACATAATTAAGAAAACCAAATATAGCCATTTCATCACAGACTAAAATGAGTTATTTCGGTGATGGCACTGTAACTTACAATAAATGGGCGTACTTAGATTTACAGTAAGTGTAAAAAACTAATCCCTCAAAAATGTTGGGTAAAGTTGTTTCAGAGCAATGATGCAAGTATATTGTTTTTCTTACCTTTTCTCACCTTTGAAAGTAATGTTAAATCATATCAGCAGTGTGGAGTACCTAAAAATATAGGTCACACTGTTTATGAACTCACTTATTTTTGGTGTGTATACAACTCATCTACTTTTTGTCAAAGAGGACTTCTATACGGTGACATAATGTATTATTGTGTATTAAATAGTGTCCATTGCATTAATTAAATTGATTTATGAGAATAATGATGATTAATGGTTTTTATAATTATTGTATTTAACCTGAATGACCAGCACTTTGAAGTTTGCAGGAGCTAACTACATCTTTTCTGTTTGCCTTGGTTTTTTTAAACTCAGACTTGGAGATAACTGCTCCTATTCAACAATTTTCCAACAACAAGTCTGTGATGAATATGGAGTGTGCGGTTTATGAACCTAGCCCCCGAGTAATGTTTCCTCCACCTGCCCCAGCTCAAGTGATTCATAGAGGAAACTGGCATACTGGGAGCACCACCAGTACATCCAGTAAGTCTGTCAAAAGTGTTGACTGCATTTATACCCTTCTAAATAGAGTCTTACATGCCCTGCTTTTGACAAGAACCTTCCTTGCACAAAGATCAAAAAGACTTCCTCTGCACAAATAGTTCAGATTTAGGATAGCTTTTGTTAAACAGAAACAGGACATTAAATGTTGAGACAGCTTTTAATCTGACTGAGAGGGAAGTTTGGAGACTTAAGTTTTTACTCTATTTTCTATTTTTGTCCTCAAAAACAAACCACAGAACTAGATGTTAGAGAAATAATACTTACATTTCCTTGAATGTTTGTTTCACTAAGTGGAAAACAAGCTTTCAGGATAAACATTTTGCCTCTTGAAAAATTTTGTCCATATCACGAAGGAACAATCCTTAAAGGGACAACTGAATTTGTGGATTTGGAAACAAATGAAAAACTCATTCATGAAATTAGTAAGAGACATAATTTAGTGGATTATACTTTTTGTTTGTTTTTTGTGACATTGGATATGGATTTGATGACTAATTACATATTTACACAGTGGTAGCACTAAAAAGCAAAGTGTACAGAAGCTGTCATTACTATCTTAAGTAGGCCTGTGGTTAGCAGTTACTTGCCATCTGTCCATCTGCTGGTAAGCAACTAAATATATGGTACTGTACGTTCACCGATTACTTACTATAGGCAAAGCTATGCAACAGAACTACATTGAGGATAAAAGACAAATGTAAGTGATCAACATCCTATTTGTTGATGGTAACATACAGTATCAGCGTTCCTTTGCATCATCACTTGTTTGCCTTAGTAAAACAACTTTGCTGCCATGTGAGCCATTTGAACCACCTGCGGAAAGCAAAAGAATAGATGACATTACTGGAACAGATTCATGCCTGATCCAGGTAGCAGAGACTGAACATGCAAAAACAAAAGATAAGTTGGGTATGCGAAGAGGAGAAGTGCAGGATAAAGAATTGCTGAGCATTTCTGAATATTTTGCATGCACCACGCGATTTAGAACGTTAAGCATGCATTTGTCTCGAGCAGGCAATGAGAGCAACAGATCAAGCACACGCAGCAGTCTGAGCTTCAGCAGTGGAGCAGAAGCAGACAATGAGGTAAGCCTCCAGTGCATCAGTCAGTACAAAACAGGAGGCCGTTTTCAGCTTTGCTGCTTATGTGATTTTGTATATTTAGGTGCACCCACTTGTGGTTATTACTATACTTCTTGTCTTAATTCTGTAGGAATAAGTAGTAGGAAATGACAGTTCTATTCAAGTTTTTTGGTTTTTCTAGGGCATATTCCTATAATTTTATTTTTTAGTGATACAGTACTTCTTTGTTAATTTGTTTTCATTTGTGTAATAATATGTGTAATATTTTTTCCTTTTTATATGTGAAAATTAAGACTTATTGTACATGCTAAATTCCAAGATTGACATGAATGTTATCCCCTTTTGCATAAGGTTTAACCGTGAAAGTAAATATGAATAAATTGTAAATAAAAGTCATTATACACTATGTCCTATAAGGTCAGTATGTCTAATTGCTGACAGCTTAAATAGTTGAATGTGTATTGATATGTTACCATTTATAGTCCATTAATTTCTGAAATGTACTTCTGAAAAGTTTCTGTATAATTTCTTGCATATAAAACAGAAACATGTAATAGTTATTTTATATTACTTGAAAGAAAGAGAAAAATAGTATGTAAGCCCACTGCACAAAATTCTTTAGTTTTCTTCAATAATGCTCCACAAGGAGTTTAAAATGTAAAAATAAATACTAGAAAAGGGAGCCAAGTGTCAGTGAAAACAAAACAGTGGCATTGACATGGGTTAACTATATTTTACAAACAGTGTAGGTTATAACACTACAGGCTACCTGAATGTCAGAGTTCTTCTGGTGTCTCTCACCTTCTGTATGCGTAATTTAATAAATAGCAATACTGCCCTCTACTGTGTCATATTTAAATAGGTCTATAGTCAAACCAGCAGTCATGTCAAGCAAACAGCTACAACAGTGCACATTTGGTTTTTAATATCTGCCTTAATCTCAATGTTTGCCATATTTTTAACATTTAAATTAAAATATTAACATTTTTTTAAATATAAGTAATTTTTACTTTGCTTGATATTCCTCACAAAACACCCCTCATTTCCTTGGGCATGGTGTCCTCGTGTCCATTTAGCATATTAACTGTTTCTTTGTTATCTATTATTATTATTATTAAAATATTTTGTAATGTTTTTGCCTCTTGGTGATTCCTGATTCACGCTGTCTTTATCAGAATCTTGGTCCAGTTAAGCAATCTGTAGAACATTTTCTTCCATTGCAATGTTTTCTTACTCTCTTAATTAAACCATTTAGGCCATGTAGAACAAAATAAACTAATTTTGGAAACATGAAAAGTGTTACTGGTGAAAAGGTAAAGAAAGAAATTAATGTGAAGTGCTTGAGCGAGCAAGTTAAAAATTAACTATTTTTGTGGCGCTTTCTGATCGTCAGATATTTCTGATTTTTCCTGTCAACCTCATCTGATTTTTCAGGATATTTCAGAGAGTTACCCTGGCCCCAGTCCTCCTCCACGTATCCAAGAGGAGGTGCCAGACCTGCCACCACCCCGAGTTCCACGCATCCAAGAGGAGCTACCAGACCTGCCACCACCCCGAGTTCCACGCATCCAAGAGGAGCTACCAGACCTGCCACCACCCCGAATTCCCCCACGGCCCCCTGCCAGGTTGGCCATATCATTGGAACTCCAGTACCAGTTTTTAAAGTCACGGAAACCTTGTCTTTGCCATTACAAGTTCTCAGAGGGCTTTTAGTGTGCAGTATTTTGGGATAGCTGCTATATTGCTTGTAACCTGCATATGAAGCATTATTAATGCATAAACTTTCCTAATCAGCAAAACTTATTTTATAAACAATTAATGCATTTCATGCATGATTATAAGATTTTCTGGTATGTACTTTCTCTGTTTTAGTGGACATTCCAGTTGGAAATACTTAATATAGTAGTATAGTAGTATAGTATATATCAGTTCAGAATATTTCCAATACTCAGTAGTAACTAGTTTATTATGGTTGCTACAGTTTAAGACAGTTTATAGACTTCATGGTAGTCATTCTACTGGTAATTATCAAGGTAACTGGTGAGCAGTTTAAACCAGTTCACACTGGTAAATATCAGTTCATACCATTAGAAACAAGCCACACATTTCTACTGGAACCTACTGCAATTTCCTTTAGGGAGAATTTAATCTGTTTATGCTTCCAACGCTGTCTGTATGCTAGGGGCAGTGACCTACATAGTATTTAGTCGCACTACAAAGTAATTACCAACTGGTATCGTGATATCTTGCGTGGAATTCTGAACCTCTTAATTGCAGTGGGTAACATAATCGGGTCATCTAATTCTGAGTGTTCTGTGTGTTTTGGGAACTATGCAAGTCCTCATTAAAATGTTTTGAGTTTGACTAAGCACATTAATTTTATTCAACATGCTTTGTTTTTTGTGTGCTGACTCAAAATTCCCTGTTTCAGGGTTCCAGAGCGCTCTATCAATGATCGCTATGTCGCCTGTCCCCCTCGTCCAGTCCCACAACTGCCCCCTCGTCAGCCAAGCCCACCTCCGCCTATCCCACGTCGAACACGATAATTGATGGCTCACTGGCCGGCATGGTTCTTCCTCTCAGTGTTGTTTGTGAACTGCTCCCACAAACCCTGAGTTGAGTGGGAATGCAGAGGTGCAGGTGTTGAATAGCCTGATACTTTCTGTGGAGTTAACGTTACATGCGGTTCTTACCCGCAGTAAGTACAATTGGTCTCAGGAATTTGTTCCTGTACTGTTCCCATGTTCGAGGATGAAAATGCTAAATCTGCTTCCATTACATAGAAACCACTTGTTACAGTATATATCAGTCCTTTAAATCCAGGAATTCTAGAACTATGTATCTGATTTTTTTTTCTGTTTTTTTGTCTAACATTTTCATGCATGTCTATGATTTCCATTTTCTTTAGTGGACAAAGTCCAAACTTCCAGCCTGCTGCGCAGAACTTGGATACTAGTCCACACATTTAGTTTTGTTTATTGATTAGGTAATTTTACGATAGTGTACTGTATGCTCTGTGAATTTTTATCTGTGTGTAATATTTTTTTGATTAAACAAATAAGCAGATTGTCTACCAGTCAAAGATTTTAATTCAACAAAAATCACAAAATAATATATTTTATGAGTATGTTACTATTTTTTCAATTAAATCCATCCAGAGTCCTTCTATAATGACAGAGTTGTGTAAAAATTGTATTTAATATAATATATTATTCTCCTTAATTTATATAAAAAACAAAGCAAAAAGTATGACTGTATTTATGTAATCATACTCTTCATAGTCAATATGGAATTTGAAGGAGAAAATGCTGGATTTTGAGTAGTACTCTCTGAATCATATAATATATTAATTCTAAAATATTTTACGGAAAATGTGTTCTTGCACTACTTTGAGTAGGTTACATATAGAGCCCAGTGTTAATGCTTATTAATGCAACTATTATATATGCTATGCATGTTTCATTTATGTTTTCTAAAAATATTTTCTAAACGTACAGTGCCTTGCAAAATTATTCAGTGACCAGGATGAGTAACCAGGATATTGTTGATCCATGGACATTCTCTCCCACCTCAGCTTCAGAATTTTGCAATTCTTCCAAAATCACCTCTGGCCTTACGGTAGAACCCCTGACCTTTTTCCTCCTTTTCCAGCTGCTCAGTATGGAGGGATAGATTGATCTAGGCAGTATCTGGGCACATCCTACTTCTTTAATGATCAACTTCACCTTGCTCAAAGAAATATTAAAACAATGTTTTATACCCTTCTCCCGATCTGTCCGTTTATGCAGCTTTATTTCTGACTTGCTTTGGAGGCTTCTTGTTCTTCATGGTTGAATCTTTGCTGGAAATTCACTACATGACTGATGGACCTTAAAGAAATACAGTATGTGTATTTGAAATCATGTTTAACCACTATTATTGCTCACTAAGGCCACTTGACAAATTGTGTGGCTTGTTGAAGTAATTTTATGTACCTAAATTAATTTGGTTTTGTCACAGCAAAGGGTTTAAATACTTATGCAATCATGACTTTTCCATTTTCTTTCATACAGTATTAGTTATGTATTTGATTATTTCTTTTTGTTTTTTGCTTTGAATGTGTTGAGGTTCAGAAAACGTTTGCAAAACACTGTTGTTGTAAGTCTGTGACAAGTTCTGAAACAAAGTTCTAACATTTTAGAAGAGCTGTGTTGTTTTACACTGGAGGAAAATGTTTTAAAAGTTGTTTGATCAGTTTCTGGATATGTTTGGTCATGTAGTTGTGCTTGCCAATCATGTAGAACAATCTGCCTTTGTTTCTTGGTTTAATACAAAACAAAGGTTTCATTCAGCAGTGTTACTACCTTCTAATCTGGTTAGTACTTTAAGTGTATCCCAGTATGATGACTAGGAACACAGTGCAAAAGACTGTTCTTTGGGTTAAACTGAATATTGCCTTGATTTCTAAAGATTACAAGGCACTCTTCAGGAGACTAGACATTCAACACCATTAACCATTGTGTCCTGATGTTGTGGAGTTTGGTTATTGTGGGCTTATACAATCTAGCATATCTAATTGCCCCTTTAATTCTCTATGTGATTTGTGTCGTGGGGCTCATGGCACATAGTGGCTGCCATGCATCAACTAGATGGGGTCTGTACTTCAGTGGTGGATGAAGTAGATCCCCTCCTATATGTTAAGCACTTTGAGATAAAATCAATAATTAATATTGATTATTATTAATCGCTGGGAACATTTAGCATATTTTCTCAAGTCTAAAAATAAGTTTTGTTTGATTTTTCTGTTGTGATATGTACTAAAACTAGTAAAATAATGTTTGCCTTTCTTTGCCAAATCATTCATGAAGCCAGGGTTATGCATGACATTATTATTATTATTATTATTTTTGTGTAACAGCTGAAAAAAAACAGTTAAAGCACAGTACTAAAAATGCCATAAAGTAGTCAGAATGAAATGTACAGTATGTTACATGTCAACACATTCATTTTAGATTTGCATAGAAATTATGTTTTTTTATGTTCTGAGTTAGAAAAGCTGATTCACTGTTTGCACTATGTTTTAAAACAAAGCCACAGAGAGTGATGTGTGGCACAACAAATTCATTGCATAGCATCCTTACAATCATGACTCTATTCTCGATCAAAAACCTGCTTTAGAGTTGAACAAAAAATGTGATTTATATTAACTTTTTGACAATTTCTTTTGTTTCACTTTTGTCAGATTATTTTGTTTCAATCAGCTAAGTGTTATTTTCAAATATCACAGCACACAGTGTCTAAATATTTTCAAATTAAAAAACAAAAGTCTGGAACATACCAAATAAATAGGATGAGCATTTACTTTTTGGAGCTTATTATCACAAAAATGTATGCATGTATGCTTTTTGTTATCAAATTACTATACTTTTTAGAATTGTATAATTGTACTATAAATTAGTCTTTATAGTATAATAGCATTTATAAGTTGTTACACAAAACTGAAAATGTATTGAGTTCTACTGTCTTTTGCAGATGACCTGTTCCCATTGTTAACAAGAAGATGTGTTTTTTTACTTGTTTCATGTTAGTTTTGCCTTGAGATGATAAGATTTCCTTAAAAGGGCGATGTTTGACAACACGGTTATTGTACTTCACATGTGAAAATACCTAAGAATTGATTTTTGGAGATGTACAATGTGTACACAGTACTGAAGATCTTTATATTGTTGTGGCTTCAGCATTAAATACATGCTGTAAATGTTTTTATTTTCTTTGAACTCACTGTTTGATCACCAGAATACTCATGCCCTGAAATACTGAACCGCTGCAGAAAATAAACTAGCAGGTTTATCACAAAGCCACAGCTGGAGTGCTCAATTTAAATGTTTTGTAATTATCTATATGGTATCTTACCCATACTCCACATGCTCAAAGACAGAGAATAGAAACACCCAAGTACCAAGAGGTACTAGGAGCAGAATCACTGAAAAACTGCAATTGTTTGTTCTTTGATTATAATTTCACTCATATAACTGAGATCAAATTCAGTGTATACTGTATGTGTATTCACTTATCTTTTTCTTATTATCTGTACGTTTGAAAATAAATGTTTTGATGAAAAATGATGAAAAAATATATTTTTTCAAAATTCCTCCATTAAAATTCTTAAACCTTTGTTTTTGGTACTACTGTCTTTTGTTACCTTGGTGTTTCATTATTGTTCATCTAGTGTTTTAGTTTAATAGCAAGTAAGGCTGGAAGTGGAGTTGCTTTTAACCATTTAAACTGTTTTATCCCCAGACCTAATGTTTCAACAAACAAGGGCTTCACCCAGAAGACTTGCAGAAATTGTGAAAGGTGAGTCCGTTTAGAGCAGGATGAGGTAAAACTTTATTTGAGATTACAGTTATTGTAAGTTTGAAGATCAAGGATAATTGAGCACTTTTATAATTCTGTGTTTTGGAAAGAAAATGACACAACCCCTGTTCAACACTGATGCACTGTTGGTGGCTGTACATTTTCACTGGCAGCGGGTCAATCATGATGGTTTCTGGGAACTTGAGTGACGGTGGGTGTGGCTTGTCCTACCCCACTTGTGCATCTGGTTATTTAAATACCCTGCCTGCTGAAGGCAGTTGAAGGTCAGCAGTGGTAAAATGAGTATTGATCAACCCAGTGAAGCGTGAACTGCATATGGTGTGTCCAGTAGTGTTTCATGCTGATAATCACAATATGTATCTGGTAAATGCATTTGAAGAGTATTTTATTATTATAGGGGTGTTAAACCTGGTGTCCTGGTTAAAACTGCATGGTGAGCTTTATCAGCCCACCTAAAGTTTTCTCTTAATTTAGTTGGTCAAGTATATTTTCACTTCTCTATCCCTGTGCTGTGTGGTTTTGTGCCCTTCAGTGATGGGTGAAATGGTTCCTATGTGTAAATTGGTTTTTGATTCCTTTTGGTGAATGAAACGTGTGGTGTAATTTCAGCCACACCATGCTCTGTCACACTCACGTGTAATGCCACATTACGATATCTACATTGTTATTTAGGAAGATTTATGCTTTAAAGTAGAAGCCCTAGTGTGATGTACTGTACAGTATTTTAGCTTTTTATACTTTGTTTCCACTTTCTCTAGGTGGCCTCTAGGTGGCACTTGGAGACTTAGGATAGGGCAAAGTTAGTGAAGCAAAACAATATGTCTTCATTTATTGTTACACAGCTTAAAATGAGGCATACTATATATATATAATTTCTTTGTGACCATTATCCTATGCTTTGGCTGTTTATGGGGGCATCATGGCTGGTATCATGGCTTACATAGCATAAATATAGCCATTTGAATCTTCAAGTACTGTTTGCTTTTCTCTAATACTTAACAGAAGATGTTTTTATATATTATATTTAATAATTGTTGTGTATCACTTTTATTTTGTGTCATAGGTATGCAAAGTTAAAACATTCTAACATATCTTAAAGTTAGAACGTTAACATCCATCACTTCCAAACGCAGGACAAAGGTCAGCTGAGTCGGACATCCCAGCCTGCCACAGCACCGCATCCAGCGTATGTGCGACCACCCATCCCATCCATAGACCAACAGTGGCTGGGTTCCAGAGCTACACATTTCTGAAGATGGACAACACACACTTAGAGGGAGAGTGTCAGGATGCCAGCCAATGGCCGTGACGAGCAGCCACACACATGAACCGAGCTATAGTATGTCCAACCAAGGAACCATGGAAGGTTGGGCTGCATTGAGGGACTTAATCCAGGAGTTACAGACAGTGATTGATCCATGTTCAGAGCCATTTAGACGCAGTAGGGATCAGAGAGACAGGTGAATACCAAGCTGTAGGGCATCCGAGAGACAAGAAACACCAAAGAAAGCAGACATTAGAGGACCAACTTGGGGGAAGCCAGAGCCTGTCCCGCAAGCAATAGGTCAAGGCAGGGTACACACTGGACAGGACACCAGTCCATCACAGGGCAGACTGACACAAATACAGACATACACACTCTTCCCAAATGCCAGTTAACATATCAATATAGTTTTGGATTGTGGGAGGAAACCAGAATAACTGCAGGAAACGCACATGAGCATACGGTAGATAGAACTCAATACATATTCAATCCAAATTTATTGTCATTGTACTTACACAGGTGCATAGTATAATGAAAAGTGTTACTCATAAGTCACTCAGGTGCAGTATATAAATAGGACAGAAGATAAGACAATAGACAGTAACACAATAGCAATAACAGTAACGTCTAATAACATAACATAAATAACGTAATCAAGTAATCAAAACTGTGCAAAATTCCGCAAACAAAGAAAATATAACAGGACAAAAACAGTGCAAGGTAATTCTTGGAACAGTGCAAAAATAGTATGGTTAAAAATAGTATGGTTAATTAATAAATATTACAACTGGTACAGTTTTACTGGGCTATCAAGAAATATTACGACCGGTACAGTTTTACTGGGCTATCGAGATATATAGCATCCCAAGTCTGGAATAGAATGCATAAACCCAGTACTGTGAGAGCACAATGCTAACCATTGCATCACTGTGCTACCCTAATAACATTTTAGAAGTTTTGACAAAAATGAAACTGAAACAGTCCAACTGACAATATGTACAGAGACAAAGGGGGAGGAAAAGAAATAGAGTGACAGCAGAGGAAAGAGGCTGTTAAAACAGATAAGGAAGACTCGCCACACCAGACTGAATTTCTGGAGTGGTGCTCTTAACGCATATACAGTATCCAATATACTGTATACAGTAATCTTTTCTATATAGTACTTAATCTTTTCTGATTTGAAAAATGACATGCTAAATTTATTGTGTATTCCAATTAAGAATAAAATTACAATATTTTGTCGTTAAATTGATTTTTATGATTAATTGATTGTTACAAATATGGTCGTCAAATTGTTTAATTAAAGTTAAATTAAAATCTGACATAGAGACGTTGTTCAGAGACATTTGTCCGATAATGAGCTAAAAGAATAGAATTTATCCTTATACTTTATGGAGTTTTTAAATTTGGGTAGTTGTCACATCAAATGTAAATTCAATTTAATTCAATTTAATAGAGCTTTTCACAACAAGGTTGCCCCAAGGCACTTAACAAAGCCGTGTGACAATACATGGCATTACAATACAGAAAAAGAAAATGGAGGAGAGGAACCAAAAGTTCCTGTGTAAGGATTAAAAAAACCTCTAGGGCTTCCGAGGTCAACTGGCTGCCCAACCCCTCTAGGCATGCTAACATTATACAATTCTAAAAAAGTACTTAATGTGGAGTATTAGGTCTTCCATTGTGCCAGTACTCCATGCAGATCTCTGTAGACCAGTAAAACCTCCTAAACAATAGCTACTGTATATCCACGATGTCCCTCTTGGATCCATGCCAGTGATGCAGCATCCAACTCAGATGGTGTCCAGCCCAGGCACCATCCGGACACGTGGGGAGGAGAATAGGATAGTTTGGTCAGAACAGATGTATCTACCTGGAAGGCCAACACTGAGACAAACAATGCTATGTACAGCAGCACCAGCAGCCATAGTTGCAACAAGCTATGATGTAGCTTGAAGGTGTGAGTAGGCTAGGCTGAAGTAATATATTTTCAGTCTGGATGTAAATCCTTTTGAATGGAAATAAAATACCTTTGCAATGATTCTTAACTGTAGGAACCACACCTTCGATACTGCATTAACATAACAGTTAAATGAGAGCCTTGTGTTTACGATGACGCCTAAGTTATGTGCCGAATTTTTGAGGCAAAATTTTAAACCCTCAGAGTTGAGTGCTGAAGTTATAACAGTCCTATCTGCACTGTTGCCACCAAACAATAAAACCTCAATTTTATCAGAGTTGAGTGACAAAAAGTTTTCACACTACAATGAAGTAGACTTTACTTCATTAATGCAATTAGCTTAAGTGACAATTGACGAGTTGTCGTTAGGTGTAAATGAAATGTATATTTGAGTGTCATCAGCATAGGGATGAAAGTTAATATTATGCTTTCGTATTATCCTACCTAGTGGCAACATGTACAGAGAGAACAATACAGATCTGAGCACTGATCCCTGTGGTACCCCAAATTTGACAGGTGGCGGTGATGAAGCAGTACAAATATTAGAAGTTTGAACATAGTGAAAACGGTTAGTTAAATAGGAGGTAAACCTCTTAAGGACGGTTCCACATACTGTAGGCCAACCTCAGACTCAAGCCCATGTAACAAAATACATTG